GATTTTTCTAAGAGTATCCTTCTCTCTCTCTCTGATTTTCTCAACCCCACTCTTTCTTTTAGTTTCCATTTTAAACAACAAATAGATAAGTAAATATTACAAAATCATCAAACGATACACTAGTACACTACAATAAAATAAAAAAGAAGTTCAAGAATTCGCTTTTTTGAATTAAGAACGTACGAAACTGTACCTTTAGTTATCAGCTTATTAATTCCCATCAAATTATCACAAATTATCTTTTATATTTTACTATAATGTAGGTACAATATATTTATATTATATTTTTTATTGTGTACAATTTAATGTTAGTTATATTAAGTAAATACTGGCTGGCTAGAAGTGGATACCTATATTAATCGACTGTAGAATAAAGTCATATTAAGTTATAAATAGGGCATGGATATAAATGCAATAAAAAAAACAATGCCTTAAAAATACGATTTTATGCACAGTAACAATATTACAAAGCTTAGTAAAATGCCCAGAAAAATGAAAATCCAATTTAAATGAAAATAAAATAGAACTTAAATAGGTAGGTATAGTCATTAGTCGTTAGTCGTCATATATTGTGTTTCATTATAATCACTTTTCAATCAGAAGCTAATCAATATTTTTGAATAAAAAACTTTGACAGTTAGAATTGGCAAGTGTTGTTTTGTATAACTGAAGTCATAGGAGTAAACAAAATAAAATAAAACGTAATAAAATAGAAATATTAGTAAGAAAAAATGATTTTTAATTATATTAAATTTCTTGAAGGAACTTAAGCTAATAGTGTTTATAAAATTGTATATATACTTATAAAATTTACGAAAAATTCCTTCAAACGATAAAAATGTCATAAAAACGTCAAAAAAATGTTCTATAAATCAGTAAAGTTAAAAAAATGCTAAATAAAAATTTAATTTTTAAATTATTTTATGTATGAAATACATTTTTTGATTGGAAAGCAATGTTTAAGAGAATCCAGAAAAAAATGCAATTTATCTTCAAATTCACACCCTAGTAGTTATAAATAATAATTTCTGTTTATGCATTGATGCCGAGTTGCTGGTCAACCAGCTGAACCGAAATCTAAAATCTTTAACACCAAATATAATATAAACATTTTGCACACTCAACAGTTATGATATGAAAATACAAAATATTTATAATTTATATTTATACCTACTGATTTTGTTATAAATAAATAATAATAGGTAACTAATTATTTTTGAGTAGCGGCCCACCGGGAAAGTTCCCGGTATCCCGCCGGCCCAGTCCGCCCCTGGCTAGGTTATTAACTATGATCTTCTAAAGTATGCAATAGTGACGATCAAAATTGGTCTTGGTCTTGAGGTCTCGCAAGACTCTTGCTGCAAGACCAAGACCAAGATTAGGCTTGCAAGAACAAGACAAGACCATCACTCCAAGACTCATGTGGTCTTGCAATTTTTTTTTTTTCCCCGAAAACACATTACTGTATCTAGATTTCATTAACTAATAATTTATAACGAAAATAAAAAGAATTTATTTGTATTGTTATGAAATTTGACCAGTGTTCGAGGAAATGGCGAATTATTGAAAAAAAGATTAGAAATATAATGGGAATTGATATTACAAAATAACATAGTTGTTCATACTAATTAACAATTATTATTTTATTTTCCCAAAATCGATAAGTTTCATCTTAGAGATCATAACAAAAAACCTACACATAGCTATAACAGGTATTTAGTTATTTTTTTATATATTTCGTGAAAATAGCAAGAGTCTTGCAAGAGTCTTTATCAAGATCAAGACCAAGACCAATACTGAGTCTGCAAAATAAAGACCAAGCCCAAGATTTTGAAAGTCTTGGTCTTGGTCTTGTTTTGATCATCACTAGTATGCATTAATACCTTTAACTGAAATACCTAATTTACAAGAGCTAAATATTATTTTCTTATAACTACCTTTTATATACTTTAATAGTTAAATTGGTAATCTAAAATGTTCAAAAAAAAAAAAAAAAAAACCAACAAACAAACAAAATTATTGGCAAACATAGTTCATTATTTATAGTAATTTTTGGTGGTATAAAATTGAGAACATATTTATTATTTATTTTATAATTATTAATAATAATTTACCTACTATAACCTACCTACTTACATAATTTTTTTTTTTTTTGAAAACTGTATTGGACACGTTAAAAAAATATATTTTGGTGATAAAGATGGGCCCCTAAAATCAATGGGCCCCGGGACCGTGCCCCCCTTGGCCCCCCCTTAATCCGGGCTTGGGTTACCTCTACATTGGCTAATAGACTAATGGCTATAGCCTATAATTATTCAATAGTTTATTTTCAATATTTTTATAAGTAGTAGAATTTTCATGATGTAAATATTTTGGAGCCAGGGTGTCACCCACTCACCTACCAAAAAAATCAGAGGTAGCAACTGCTACCCTTGAACCCTCCAGTATGCGCCTCTGGTTACAGGTAACTTGATAAAGAATAATATTATCTCTATTTAAACAAAAAAAAAACCGGTCAAGTGCGAGTTGGACTCGCGCACCGAGGGTTCCGTACAAACCTGTAGGTATATAAGTAAAAGTTAGTAGTCGCGAGTTTGAAAATATGCGGCTTAAATTGTTATTATTTCTTTCGATTGCGTTGACATAAAAGTTTGATTTTGTTACAGTTTAAAGGTATTATAGACTTAAGTATTTAATATGAATTTTAATTTAATACCTCAACGCGTTCATGAGATAAGAAGTAGTAACTTTGAAATTTTCAAAATTGTCAAAAATATTTTATTTTTATATGATGAAACTAAAAATTTATGGTTTTCGTAATTTTTCCTATATCTGTACTATAAGATGTGACTTCGTACGAAATTTCAAGATTCTAAGTTCACGGGGAGTACCCTGTAGGTTTTGATTCCCGTGCGAGTTTCGAAAATTTGCGGAAATTTTCGGAAATTTGCGGCCTAAATGGCTGTATCTTTTGATTGCGTTGGCTTAGAAGGTTGATTTTTCTACAGCTTCCAGGGACAGTAGACCTGAGTATCATATAGTAATTTTAGTTTGATACCTCCACGCGTTCCTGAGAAAAACGGTCTTGACAGACGGACGGACGGACGGACAACAAAGTGATCCTATAAGGGTTCCGTTTTTTTCTTTTGAGGTACGGAACCCTAAAAAAAGAAGTTAGGTACATTATATGTATTCTGCGTGCTCATAAAGTTATATTTAAGATTTTTAGAAATTTAAATTAGATGATATTAAATGTTCATTTTAATATTAAATACATTTGAGTTAATCAAATTTTACAATGTGATTACAAATTATTTAAATATCTAAAATTGTAAAGCATATAATTATAAATCAATTTATTAACACATATACGACATATACCTATGGCAATGATATCAGAAGGCAATTAGCAGTGACCAACTCTAAATAAAAGCGAACTTACTGCTTTTCGTTTTATGATTCATATATAAGCCATATTATGCAGTAAGTCCATTAGAGCACACGAAAAGTTATAAAAAAACTTTTCGTTCGCAATAGTTTCCTCGTACAACATAATAATAATAATATAATAACATACATTATTTAAAAAAGTTATTATTTTTAAGCTGCTGACTAATATTCATAGGCGTGAGCAGGGGGGGGGGGGGTGCCGGGTATTCCATGGCATCCCCTGCAGAGTTATCTTAACCATAAAGTTTTTAGTTGTAAGTGTTTTGATTATAAATTAGAATCATGAACTAATAAGATAGTTCATAGTATTTTAATTCAAGAATTTAAATATTTTGATTAATTTTTTATATTATTTTCTTATAATAAAATATTGGGAGTTGAGACGAAATCAAATATTAATTAGATTTCATAATTATATTTTCATAATCACCACAGGTACCTATACATAATAAAATAGATTGCTAAGTGCTAACTCTTGATAATATATAGTTGAAATCAAAATTCACATTTTTCGTGAGAATTGCGGGTTTTGTCACCAGAATATTTTGCAGGCCCCTCCTTATTTCTTATTTTATTATTAATATTCCTTATTTTCATACTACCTACAACTAACAAAATTAAAAGAATTTCGATTAATTAGATTATCATTTTTTGTCATTATTATATTATTCTAATATGATCAAATATCTGTAGGTTTCTATACTTTGTTACTTCATTGGAATGAAATCACAGAAGTACAAACTTTTGAAATTAAAATGTCTAAAACCAATAAGTAAGCTAAATACAACGCATATTAATTTATTTTCGCTATATATAAGTTATTAATTTTACCTATTAAGAGTTTTGGGGGAGTTATATTTTGTTTTGAGCTGGGTATGTTTAAAAATATTGGCATACCCTGCGAAAAAAGTCTGCGCACGCCTATGCTAATATTCAGTGCTGAAAACGGTTTTTATCTTTCCCGAAGAACGGAAGAACTTAGGTATATGTTTTTGGAGTTAAACGGCTTAGTGACTTTTGACGGCTGCATATGGGATAATTATTATTATATTGTTTCACCTCGGCGGTAGCTTGGTCTGAACCACGGTTTAAGTTACGCCTATCCATCTTAAACTGTGGTCTGAACTTTTGGTTTCGGCCGATTTATGCCATCAGATGGCGTCCCGTCCGGCCGCGCAACCTGTCGGCGGCGTACACGCTAGCGGTTCGCTTTCCCGTTTCAAGCCGATCAAAACAAACGCGAGCAACACGTTCTCTCGCCGCCACCGCAGCCCGTCGCTACAGTTTGCCGCCGTTCACGTACGCTACACCACGTTCTACGCACGCATCATATTTGATGACACAAACGTCTCTGTCGCCGTCGTAGTAGTTTTTTCTTTTTTTTTTTTTATTACTGTTGTAATTTATAATATTTGTTCTACAATAATTACTGTTGTAAGATAGTAACCTATCGTCGCCAGTGATACGCGTACGGGCGTCGAGTTGTATAATCGTCGTCAGGACATATTTCTGTTTTTTTTTATTTTTCAGTCGCATAAAACCGCATCGAAATGGGTTTTGGCACGTCCACGATCAAATACATTTTGTTTTTTTTCAACTTTGCGTTCGCAGTGAGTACCCATAAAAGTTTTTTAACGTTAATATTATTATTGCCTAGCTAGGTCCTGGCTCCTACCAATAAGTAATAAGCTGGCAATAAGTTAATACGGCTGCACACTAAAAAGTCGTGGCAATATAAACCATAGGTATATTTAGTCGTAATATTCCAGTCTTGACGATAATATTATATTTTGAGACTTGAAGTATTTAGGTTAAGTTAGGTATATATGGGGCGTGTATAGGTAATAATTAATCGCGAGGATTTGACGATATAAATGTCAACAATCGATACGACTAGCCCTATGGCCTATACTATACATTATGTATACCTACGTCACATAAAAGCCATAATATATAACTTGCCACTCAAAATCCACAGCATATAATTATAATTTATACATTTTATTATACGGGTAATACAAACATTTATATCTAATAATATGCTAATTTAGTAAAATTCACATTTTATATTATATTTATCCATTTATACCTATAATATGTTATTGTGTAATGATATTTTGTCTACGGTCCTGCACCTATATGGCCTATAACCTATATTATCAACAACTATTTATAGTAGGTACGATAACAACGATAGTATTCACTTAGTGTCTTGGCTCGATAAATATTGAACGAATAATATAATTGTTTAAAATAATATTATATTTAACGTAGGCATAGGTACCTAATAACCTAATATTATAATAATAGGTATATATATATAACACGTATCATACAATAACTTGTGTACAAATAGACGATTGTGGTAATTGTATGACATCGATCAGATACCAATTAAACCCGAATTTTGATTTAATATTGTTTGTAAAACGTGTACTTGCCCATAATTATCATAGATATAGGTATTCCGCCAGGCTCTTCCAATCGCATTTTCCGTAACAGTTCTCGCATAACATCGTAAACATCCAGATGAGTGCGGTGATTGATATTTTTCATTTATATAATTATACAGTCTATATTATTATTATTTTAATGTATTAAAAAAAAAAACAACAACAACAGTCTTTTCTCTGGACTACACCCGACAGCGTTATTTTATACAAATTACGTGTTAACAAAAACGTACAGTGCTTTCAGTGCAGCACACTCCTGCAGCTGGAGATTGTATTTGCAAGATTTTTTCCGATCGTACACTGTTTGTATACATAATAATATAGGTTTACGATATTACGAAATAATAATATGTGTTCTAACAATTATTTAAGTCCGAACGTAATCGAACGGGAAATCAACGAACTTCACTAGCGAACGACTCAAACTCAGACCAGGGCCCTATTAAATTCAACTTTTTCTTCTTTATATTATTATGTTCGCGCGTGCATGAGCGGTGGCGTTGGTGATAATAAATAATATATACACGTAGGATGTAGGCCATAGTGCCTATAGTCCGTATAGTACTCTATACTAGAACCGTATAATGAATGCACAAAAAAACAAACCAAAACTGCATATGATTAAATCGGTCGGCTGTTTTTTTTTCACGTTCGTTCGCCTCCTACAATACGGCACAACGCTGTTAATATAGGTAGGTCCACCCGATAGACGTAGGTCTGATCTACTCTGACGACGACTGAATTCATGACAATTTTTTTACACTTGGATGACGAGATCGAATCCTCGGCGAACTTAATACACGTTTGACTATTTAAGTTAGAAGTTGTACTTACTGTATTATTACTTATGTTAGTTATATTATAATGGTACCACTATTAAAACAATAGACATATTGTTACACCTTACACGTGCTCGTTGTCAGCATGCACTGTTTTTCGATCTTTCACAAGAAAATGAATCGTTCTTAAAACGTACAAAACTGACGCATTTTGTACGCTCACATCGTATACAGCACCAATACTTAGACAATTTGAAATTAACCTAATATTATGCTTATTAAGTGGTTTATATTTCTATAATATGCAAGTACCTGAATATGTACTTGTCTGTTTTGGCTCTATTTTCATTTCTTCGTGTAACATTCTATGAAAATTACAGTGTGTAGCCGGTAAACTGTGCTTTTTACAAAAATATTTACAGTGTACAAACATTTAGATTTTTTTTTGTATATAGGTAAGTTATATTTTTAAACTTATAAATAATACAATTTAGTACCTACGATAAAAGAATAAAAGTTTTGCGTTCCGTAATTATTTTTATGAGAACCACAAGCTACCGGACATACTAGTGACATACAGCTGTGACTCCTCGGAATATTGCCCTCCAAACATGGCAGGGTAACTAGTTACCGCGGGAAGAAACGAAAATATTGATCAAGAGCATAATATTATCCCATATTATACAAATACTGAAATACTAAAATGCATTTACTACTTAATGTCACCAAGTACAGGTGGGAAAAATATGCTGCACAACTGCAGTAACGCACTTATATACACATAACGCGTATACCAAATACCTGTAACCAATCAAGTGGTCCAAACGCGTGACCTTAGTTGGCCTTATAAACCTTTATTCCGATGTATAGGTATTATATGTACTTGATCGACATCGGATCGAGTGCACACTCTTGTTTACCTCGATTAATTATATTTCCGTCTTTCGTCATAGTGATAACAATAAATTGCGAAAAAAATGTTCCACCGAATTTCAGCATAAGAGCTTACTAATAAGCAGTCCTGTAAAGAATACTTTTGAAAAGTACTTGAGTAAGTACTCAAATACATTTTTTTTTAAGTATTTAAGATACTACTCAAATACTTTAATTGTATAGTATTTCAAATACTACTCAAATACTTTGAAAAAGTATTTGGAATACTTTTCAAATACTTTTGGAATACTTTTCAAAAACTTTTGGTTTTTAAAGTGGGTTTCTAATTATTGTAATATAGACACATAGGTAGTAAATTTATAATCATTTTTATTTATTATTTATTAAATAAATGTTTATTACATTTTTTTTTTTTATTTTTACATGAAATTTACAATCTGTTCTTAACTAGAACAATAAGCAAATGTGCATAGGGTATTTGCGTATGATTTTTTTTTTGAGGGAAGAAACCACCCATTGGTGATACTACCTATTTTGTGTTCTTAATTCATTCTAAAATTTCTAAAATTATTTCGAATAAAAATAAAATGTTCGAAATAAAAAACCAAAGTATTCAATACAAATAAAAGTATTTAAAATACCATTCAAAATACTTCATGCTGAAAGTATTTAAAAAGTTATTCAATACTTAAAAAAGTATTTGAATACTTTTACTCAAATACTTTACAGGACTGCTAATAAGTAATAATTAGAAATTCGTAATTTATTCTGATTAAAATATAAATACAACATGAATACTATAATATTATTCTTAGAATTGTGGACTATTATCCCATACTTAAATGAAATTAACCATACATTACACGATAATAATAATTAGACAAAAGTATTGTTTACATAGGTAGGTAGGTATAGGTAGTATTTATTATTTTTATGCTTCGTAAAAAACGTATTAAAAAGGAATGAATTTAACGCTACAATACCGCAGTTGCAAGTTTTCTTCAGGACACAATACACACACTGCTGTGCTACAAAAGTGTTTGCGTCTTATTTATTCGAAGGTAATTAATAATTATAACGAGTTGAACACTAAAACGACATCGTGCATTACCATTACTATCAGATCCCCCTCCCCCGAGATCTTTTTTTTTATCGATATTAAATTATTAATTTTTTTTTTCAATTTTCATAAGACCGAGGAAAACACGCATTGTATACAATTGTATTTTGGCAAGCCATGATTGAAGATGTCTATAATAGAATATTATATTATCCATAGTCAGATGAAAAAAATATATAGTATATCTGACGTAGGTACAACTTGTTTTATAAATAATATATTTTTTCGCTTCCCTCCCCGAACTCTCGAATACTTCACTGGCTGAGACTCGTGCCCGGTGCACCTCCAGGACTAAAAATGTTATGGCATCTTGCAGTTGTGATTTGCATAGATCCTGTTTGGATCACTCGGCCGTCATTGCATTTTTAACGCATAGACCTACTGCATTGGTCAATGGCCAATGAAACAAAAATATTAACTATTTCTGTATATTTTTATACCGGTGGGAAGTTGACCAACATACATCTAGATTCTCACTAAGAGCGTTTAACCGGCATCGCCGTATTTAATAATAATTTAACAGTCGTAAAAGAGGGGCCCGAGAGTCATATTTTTTTATGTAGGTAGTAAAGAAACTAGGAAAGTCTTACACACACACACACGCACACACACACACACGCACACACACATACACTTATAGTAATATAATATAATGTATGTATTGTATTGCATTATAACGTTTGTTTCGAATGGCGACGACCAACGGCTCGGCCTCGCCAAGACGACAATGCATGATTCGGTCGAGAAAAAGTCGTGCCCCGCACAATTGGTGTTTCCGGCGGCTAGCCATCACTTATAAGTGTTTTCAAAGTCTTGAGTTTTACGTCTGTTATATACAATATACATATTAATATTGTATAATATATTATACGCAGTGCAGCAGGTACTCCTCACCACAGTCTCGTTTAGTAAGTATACTTGCAGCTCAGCAGCAACTATATTGTTTCTGTAATTTTAAGATCACACGCCGCGGTAAGTATGTATAACGAGACAGATAAAAAATGTTGGTGTCCCTGGGCTATTTATTTTTTATAGCACCCCTATATTTTCCATAATGTCAATCATTTTATACTGCGAATATTTTTTTGATAAACTGAAAAACCATCATTTGAACTGTCTTATACTGCGTCTTTATCGTTGATTCTGGACTTGATAGGCGACAGCGTATATATAGAAGAATCCCGGAAAAAAAAACCAAAGTGATAATATAATCATAGAATTAGCATTATCACAAAATATAAAGCCCCCTACACACAATATATGATCTGGTCGGGGCAACAGATAGCCTGACCAAATCAGGTGTTGTGTACAGACGACACGATCTCTGCACGACTTGGTCAGATGAATTTTAATTCCACTAGTCT